GATGCCGGGGTACACTCTGGTGGGGATGCCGGGGTACACTCTGGTGGGGATGCCGGGGTACACTCTGGTGAGGATGCCGGGGTACACTCTGGTGGGGATATTGGGCTACACTCTGGAGGGGATGCCGGGGTACACTCTGGAGGGGATGCCGGGGTACACTCTGGTGGGGATGCCGGGGTACACTCTGGAGGGGATGCCGGGGTACACTCTGGTGGGGATGCCGGGCTACACTCTGGTGGGGATGTCGGGGTACACTCTGGTGGGGATGCCGGGCTACACTCTGGTGGGGATGCCGGGCTACACTCTGGTGGGGATGCCGGGGTACACTCTGGTGGGGATGCCGGGGTACACTCTAGATGGGATGTTGGGGTACACTCTGGAGGGGATGCCGGGCTACACTCTGGTGGGGATGCCGGGCTACACTCTGGTGGGGATGCCGGGCTACACTCTGGTGGGGATGCCGGGCTACACTCTGGAGGGGATGCCATTATGATGTTCTATTATTATGCATGATAATTGTAAAAAAACGATGGTAAAACCTGACCTGGATAATCTTGGTTTAATAATCATATAATAAACATCCTTATAATTGACTGAAAAATCATTAAGCATTATAATTTAGTTACTATGGGCCCTCCTGCTACGCAAATTTAAATAGACATTTTTAGATGGATCCATAATGGTTTTGGGAAAATACAAAGAAGCCTCAGGCTTCAGTGAAGTGTGTGACGTTTGAGATATTAAAGATTAAGAACCAGAAGTTAGTGGTGGTAATATCTGCCACCACGGCAAGGCTACAAGGAGAATGCAATCAAAATGATGGTTAGAAACTGGTTAGAATGGCAAAGGGGTTTATTATCCTTAGACTTGGGGGTCTAGTTTGGCTGGGGGAGCCCAATCCTCCTATGATTTCAAACTTTGAAGTGGAACCTAATATACTATTTACTGTATGATTTCAGAAGCTGAAAATACGGAATAGAAAACATGTTCTGAAATTGACCATCACTGCCGCTATCAGCATGCAGACTATAGGGTTAAATTAAAAGAATACATAATTCACTTCCTGCCAGCCAATATTTTGCACTCCTGGATAATTTTGTAGGATTATGTCCCCTTACACTGCATTTTCTTTTCATTGTCTTTTGTTTGCATCTATTGGTCACATTGTTTAGCTGTATATATGACCTTGTAGTCCATGAAGTTTCCTGATGTATTTTAGTATTTGTATTTTATCGGCACTTTTGCTTTGTGAAAATGAGACTTTGCAGTTTAAAGCTGCTGAGCTGCACCACTTCACTTTTTTCGTGAAATGTTACTTTTCCAAAACCAGGGAAAATAAATAGCCCCAAAAATACCTCCTGCAGTTTTTGATGTGAGATACCATACGCTTTCCCCACAACTGCCTAATAAGTTCTAAAGAATCTTTTGAAAGCTGTTCTTCACAACTACATTTCATTATGTAGAAAAGTTCTCTGTCAGAGAAAAATACATGGCAATGGACACGTAGAACATCATAAATACATGGCAATGGACAAGTAGAACATCATAAATACATGGCAACGGATACGTAGAACATCATAAATACATGGCAACGCACACGCAGAACATCATAAATAGATGCAATGGACACGCAGAACATCATAAATACATGGCAACGCACACGTAGAACATCATAAATACACTGTAATATACCAGGAATATAGCGCCTTGCTATGTGTACCGTCACTGCTACACTGTCCAGGTTTCATTCACTCACGGATAGAACATAATACAAATATCATTGTGATGCTACTGATGATCCATCCATCCATCCATCCATCCATCCAAAAGGTAACAGCTGAGTGTAGAAAATTCATTCAACTTCTGAGAGGAGGGCAAGGAGAGAGGCGGGAGATACAAAAGGTCTGAATCTCCCTGCAGCTTAATTTGCAGCTGCGCGCTCTTTCCGTCTCCGGCAGCATGTTCTGTTGGGGTCGTCTGTTGCACGGCAGGAGTATTTGGGAATGATTAATTGCGCTGTCTCATGAATGGAGCTTTTGAAACAGCAGGATTCTCTGCATATGTAAATACAAGCCGTCGCGGCGCAGCGCTGCAGAGCGAGATTAACAAAACGACTGTGCTCCTAGATTTGCACCAATTCTGAACTCTTTTATATTACCATAGACAACCTGGGGCAACGTGACACCACTGGCATGGGTGAAATCCTACATTCCTATCATCTTTCCAAAATAAAAAGGATACATTCAACCCCGCCCACTTAAAACTGAATGAATTCTGCAGCAATGATGTGTAGCACAATTGACCCTGAGAATTATATACTTTATTATTGTAATAATACATATATTACGACAAGGAGTGCTATGATAAAATGTAATTAATTTAGCCATTTTTTTTTTTTTAAACAAGAAAATTTAATAAAATGTTAACAAGGGCAACAAAGACAAAGCAACTGCTATTCTGCTTTATTAACTTTGGTGTAGATATTGTGTCAGTCTGGGTAAAATTTACATGGTAGAAACAAGAACAACAGTGACAGGAAGGTCATGCCCGGCAGCCGGGAGCGCGCCTGTCAGCCAGAAGGCTGCAGAATCTGGGACGGATGCAGCGACAGCGTTTGGCCATTTCACTCACACGTGCAATAGCTCTGAGAATCTACTAAATGTGTCTTTATATTTATAGATGCAATACTGTTCTCTAAAAGTCAAAAAAGTCAAGATGTCAAGGCGACACACGGCACCAGGACAGGTAACTGTTGATTAGCAGTAACTTGCACCTAGAATTGAAGGTTATTTAACATTAAAGCATGATGTCGCTCATGATGCGTGTAATTGGTAGGGCTGTGAGCCTGACTCTTGTCCCAGGAAACACAGCGGAAGGGATACTGTAAAGTAGCGGGTGGGGGCCGGTATTCCAGGGGGCCGCGGTACGCCGCGGGTTTTGCGTGGGTGGTGGTTAATTTCCAAAAATAAACATTATGCTTTCCATTTTTTTTACAACTCCTCGTGTTCACACATTCTGTTCACCTCTGGGGGAAAAAATGTAAATGGTTAAACTTATGAAAGCACTGATCACATTGCACATGCAATTGTTACGTCACAAAGACTCTTATACTCAGCTGGGTTGAGAGCATCAAAAGGTTGCACAAAAACATTTTTACTCAGTCATATGAAACAAAACTTAAGCACCTTTTTAGTTTTAATGATGGTTCCTTTTCAACATTATGTAGTATATGTTTTAAAAAAAAATCAGTCTAAAGTTTACCGCCATTGCTTTTGCATGAGCTCTGCTGGTGCTCTCCCAGACAATCATAATCATGCTCATTTTGGTGGTTAGACTCAGTCAGTGTTGTACTTTATGAGGAATTTAACAATAGTGGAGAAAAGAAAACAAGAGCTGGTCATAAAAAGACATATGTCTTCTCCTGTATGAAATTATTTTCGATTTCCATAGAGACAATATTTCACACTGCTTTGTGTCTGTTGGCACAAATCACAGCAACAAAACCAACGTATTTGACAGGCTCTATTGTTATAAGTTTTATCTCCTAAATATCACAAAAATTATATCACTGACATTTTCAATATTGTTCAGTGTACTCAAAACACAATGTGTTCACAAGAAAAATAATTATTATGATTAGGATGTACCGTATTATATAGAACGACGTGCCTAAGCAATACTACTAACCTTCATTTTAGCAGTGATTATTTTGACATGCAGGAAAGTAAATTAAGCAAAATAATTTAAGTGAGAGTGGTTATAAAGACAAGCCAGGCTACTCCTAGAGGCTAAATGGCACGTATATGTGGCTAATCTCGCAATATTGGGTGTCCGTCAAACCTTAGTGTCGTCTTATAAGATGTATTTGCATTGCAGTCTGATGTTTAAGTTCTGCTTTGCAGTTCTGACAGACGACTGCATTTTCATTCACTTTCCACATCATGAAGTGCTTCCACAGAACTGATGCTTTCACTCTTTATTTGGACCCTCATCCACTAGCTTCATCACCCAGCCTCAGCTCGTCTGCGGGTCCTTGAGCAAGGCCCTTAAGCCCCAGCTCCCTGGGCACCACTACAGGTGGCTGCCCTTCACGGACAGCTTACTCTACACAGAGCAAGTCGAGGGAAGCGTAAAAAAGACAATTTCCCCACAGGGATCAATAAAGCATCTATTAATATTATTATTATTATTATTATTATTATTATTATTATGCACCATCTTCCTTCCTCCATGTTGCAGATGAATCAAAAAGGAAAAATTTTATTTGAATAATCCAGTAATCAAATTTAAGCAAGTAATCATGACTGCTATAGTGTCAATAAATGGCAGTTACTTAATTTCATTTAATTATAGAGGCAATATAGAGTAGCACATTTTTACTTTACTTTTTTTTTATCTTTAAAAATCACAAGTGTCTTTCACTTGTTAACATAGTATTCTTTTATAAATAGGGAGTTTTGTTGTACTTGCAGTGTACAATGGTAACAATGGCATTCTGCTCCGTTCTAAAAATACAGTTCAATAATTTACATTCCTCTGAAAATAACATAAAGAGAACTGGTTTGGGTCTTACTTTCTGCAGTGCTGTGGCTGTCTGGGCTGGATCCCATGATTGTGGTTTCCCTGTGGGGCCCTTCAGCAAGGTCCTTAACCCCAATTGCTTCCATGCTTAGCTAGCTATGTTTCTCAATTGTATTTTGCTTTGGATAAATCCATCATCTAAGTGTAAAATGTACTATCTAATGTAAAAATATCTTGTAAGCTAAAAAGAGAAATAATTTTATTTTCACTGTTCCAATCGATCAAGTCTGGAATGGAAAACAAGTTAAAAATAAACCATAAAAGGAATATTTTCAGTTTTTTTTAAAATATATTTTTATGAAACTATACTTCTCCAAGTGACCTTTTTAAAATTCCTTCTGAGAAGCTTTACTACCCTCAAAAGAAAGAGATAGAAACTATTATCCTTCTTTTTTTTTTCTTTTACTCCTCCCCTTTTTAAGAATCCATACTACCTTTTAGCATTTTGAAAGGTCAGACACTTGCTGAACACCCTCTCCGTTAATTCTGCAAAACTTTCACTGTTTTGTTGACAGAACAAATTTCGGCGGAGTGCCGACTCTTATCATATACAGATAGTAGAATTCCTTTATGAAGAGATAAAAGAACAATCCATCATGAGATCCAAGTCTTTTATGTGATGCACAGCTTTATAGTGACATCTGTGGGTGCTTGAGTAACACCTATTCCTGAGAGATGCAATTGAATGGACGGTCTGACGGCCTCTTAGGAATCCCAATAGCATGGTCTTTGAATGTGCATGTTTGACTTTTTTTATGCTGTCTTATGTTGGAAAAAAAAAACAGAAATATGTATTTTTAAAAGGCTAATTTAAATTTCAACACTGAAATCCAACTTTTTGTCACAAATTCTTTCCATTTACGTCTGGAAGTGAACAGATAACCAGATACATGAAACTTATCAGAGTATAAT